ATATATATATATATATATATATATATATATATTTTTTTTTAAATTAAAAACAAATGTGAATGATTCAAAATGGTGTATGCATTTATGATCATATTCACGAGTTCTTTTTGAATATTTGTTTTAAATTCGCAAAAATAAAAAAATAGAAATATAATTAGAAAAAAAAAACTAGAAAATAACAAACTATATTAAAAATATAATATTTAAAATAATAAATATTTTCCATATTTGTAAAATTATGTTCCTTGAGAGATAGTGTGACTAAATATTTCTTTTTCATAAAATCAAAAATAAGGTAAATATTTCAGTTGATAAATTTAACTGGTACACCCTGTATAGTGTTGAATAATGGACAGGGTCTGACTAGTTTCGATTTGAACTACTAGACTCAAGTGTTACTAAACGTTTCCCAATATAAATCAAGTTGTAAAAGGAAGTATTTTCATCAATTTCTCACACCTTGTGTTTCCTTTCACAAAATCACGTTAGATGATTAATAACAAATAATCATTTTTTTTTTTTTTTTGAAATATCATCGCTTAACTATAATTGGACGAATATCGCGATTTTAAGATCGATCAGATGAGAAGGAAAAAGTTTTTCATAAATAAAGTATATATATATACATGTGTAAGAATTGTTGCACGTTAACGAGGTACATACGAACACAGACATTTCTTTTTATGAATATTTAGAATAGTAATTAGTATATTTCTAATTGTCAGATTGTCTTAACGTCAGTTTCTATATTTGATGATGAAACACACAAAGATGTACGCGTATATTATCCTAGGACTATTTGTTACATGTATCTTTTTGTCAGATAGAAATGCTCGTGTTACGTATTTACTCTTTATAATACAGTGCATGCCACTTTGCCATGTGCTCGTGTGCGTTTTTAATATAATACGAATAAAATAATTATCATTCATCGTCAGCCTTATGTCAGAGCCGTGCGAAACGCCGAATTATCTATCACTGTTTTCATCATCTTACAATTGACGTTGACCTAACGAATTAATGGAACGTAAAAAGTGTCTGTATATATATATATATATAAGGAATACATATATATATGTCTTCCTTAAACAAATGAGTAATGAAAAATATTTGGGACTGTGAGTGAATGATAATGCGTTAAGGAAGGAATATGTGTTACCTATATAACCTACAAGAAGATAATTACGATTGTCATTGATATTTCTAAGTTTGTTTCAGAATTAGTGTCATCTCTTCGACGTTTCATTTAAAATCTGCTGACCGCTTCGTCATCGGTCACGAAGTAATTGGAATTCTTAACGGCTGAGCCGTACATACTGTAAGTTGGGCTACAGATGACGACACCGGTGGTCGTACAACCACCTAGTTCCTTTTCATTCGTCACCGAGGAATGACGAGCAATGGTACCTGTCCTCTTGTCCTTCTTCACTAATGTCATACGACAGTCCTCGGGTCTTAATGGCATCGAAGGATAAGTCGGCTGTCTGGCCAATGTTGTAAGTGCACGGTCTCCGGTGTCGTTAAAGCTACGAAAAATGTGTCAGGGTAATATGAAAGAGACAAATGTGTTTAAAAAAGGAAAAACAACAAAATCTAGGAAGTAGGATAATACAATAAACATATCATGTCTTCTGGTATTAAAAAGATGATGGAGATGTTTCGATGTTTGTATGCTGTTGGAATAAAAAAATGGGACAAACATAACGTAAAATGTCAACATAATTTCAAACATAATTTATTAACAAAACATAAAATAAATCTTTTGTTGTTTGTTTTTTTTTATTATTGTTACGTCACAATAAGAACAAAAAAAAGTCAAACGATGATCTCGATTTGTACGCTATTTAACTACCTGTGATGCCTGACGATGCCTCTTTTTATTCTGCAATGTTCATTCCCGCTGTGTCCTTCTGGTGCAGTACCATGAGTTTTACAAGCTTCTATACCCATTGGAACTGGTGATAAAGAACCAGGACCGTATGATCCACTACTTTGTCGTCTGTCCAAAATGTGGACTAGTTCTACGGATGGTGTTGGGGAGAATGTACCCTATCGTTAATAATTCATTAATAACAATTTGATTATATAAAATTAAACTAATGATTGTGGATATAATCGATGTCTTACTTGTAATGAAGGTCTTCTCAAAGTTCCACCATCCATACCGACCAATTTGACACCCTTAACGTTCTTTTTACCACAAACGTTTGTTAGCATACTGTCTTGGGCATTTAAATTAAATTCAACTGGATTTCTATTGGCAGTTCTTTCACAGTCACGTAATAATTTATCATTAGTAGTTGTGCTCTCATTACAAATTTTATTATAAGGTGAAGCAATTGACATGGATGCTGGTATTGTCGTATTCGAGGGTATCGTATTAATATTTCCAAGTTCGTTCCCACTAGACGCAGAGACATTGTTGTCGACTGGCAAAAGTACTTGACCCAATGAATCTCGAAGATTCCTAACACCAAGTATCTGACCTCTACACGTTGCACTGACCTCGTTGATCGGTATAGGAACGTATTGATTAGTTGCCGTTTGTACGTGCCTACCAGTTAATGAGATCGGTTGGCTTGCATTTCTCGAGATTCCATGAAAACTTTGACTAGTTTGACTGGTTCTTTGTATTACGGATGCAACCGTGTTTCCTCTTAACGTTTCATTATTTGTAAAATCGCTAACAGCAATGTTGTTTTCGGAAGAACGTTGCTCAGAACGTAAATCTTCGTTTAAATTAATAGTTCCAGATCTATCCAGTTCATAATTGCAACCACTGACACCATCACATGCATCAATACCCGACAATGATTTCTAAAAACATAAATATCATTAGATTAATAATAAACGAACAAATTGATCTATCATAGTAAAAAAGAAAATAATAGTTTATTCATTTACGTTTACTGATGAGGAATCCATCAAGGCTGCACCCGAGTTACTTTGTATCACCCCTGATTGGTCTTTCGTCTTTCCAGGTGAATAAACGCTTAGGACGTCGCAACAACGAGGGAAATAACCTTTACCAAGAAGATTTCGCGTAAAGAAACTAGCGATTATCTGCACGATAAGTGCCGACAACATTGCTGTTGTACGGAACGGAAATTTCTGGGTTCTGGTCACTTTGTCGTAAAATGGATATTCAATCAGAGCCGGTATACCCAAACCCTCTTCACCTCCTAAAGGATTCAAGCGCGTGTAAGATGGTAATTTGCACTTGCAATTAACGATCTATATACCGTGAGCGTACACTTGAATGACTACTATACTCACCACCGACACGTAATACAACAGCAACAAAGTATCCCGCGAGGCATCCGTAAGTATCGATCAACGATGGCCAATAGATGATCGCTAATAACTGAGGGAAAAGTACGACGTACACAAGATCGGATGATAGATACCTGCACAGGGTTCAATATACTTTATAAAAAAAGAAAATACGAATACTAAAAAACAAATTGAAAAAAAGTCTAATTATTACTTACGAAAGATAATAAATACTATCAACTTTCAATGCAAAAATAGTAGAGAGTAGTGAGACCATTAGCATCGAGATTCGTAATATCCAATTTAATTCTCTTTCCGATGCCTGTAATAAAATAACAAATAAATATATATGAAATTAATTTGATTAAAAAACAATCATATATTATTTACCTTTGGTCTAAAAGTCAGTCTATAAATATTTCTTGAAAACATGGTACTGCTTGCAAGTATACTGGAATCTGCCGATGACATTATTGCAGCTGAAATTGCTCCAAGACCTGTTCAAAGTTTATGATTAAATACATAGAAACAAGAAATATAATACAATCTTGATACTCACCAATGAAAGAAACCCATGGTGGTGTCAAGTACCTCAACACAAAAGGTAATGCGGCATTAGGATCGAAATATAAAGTCTTGTTCAAACCCTCGACTAACGTCCAGTCCGTTGCACGTGCCACAACACCGATCAAAGCACACGGTGCTGCGAGTATTATACAGAAAAACATAGAGACTACCGATAACGTTGTTGCAACGGTAGTACTTCGAAAGCTGAGTATTCGTTGAAAGTAACCCTGAATAATGGATATACTATCTGTTATCTCCTATTGAAACAACATAATCTGATAGGTATTGACGACTAGTTGGTTACCTGCCATGGTATCCCACCGAATACCAGTAAAAGCATGCCATCAATCCACGTAGCTAGATCTTCATTTTTAATTTCACCGAGCCACTCCCTGGATGATAAATTCTTTTCAAACGATGTTGCAGGATGGAATACGGAAAATGGCGCTGTAATAGCTAATCCTATAATTATGCAGGCCAATTGGAGAGCGTCTGTACAAGCCACGGAATATAATCCACCGAAAACGGTGTATCTGCAAAAAAAAGAGAGGGAAAGGGGAGGAAGAGGAGAAGTATATTTTTGGTTAAAACTAATAATGAAAATTTTGCTTATTAAATATTATTCTACGTTCAACTATGCATGCCTTGCAAACATACTCTTTTGTACTAACATGACTGCTAACAATGCCGAAGCACAAATGCTCAATTGTGGATCAACTTCGGCAATGACAACCAACGAACTTCCTAAAGCCTTTAATACCGTTCCACACCAAAACAAATCACCAAATAATGCTGGGATAAATAATAATCCGCCTACTCCGGCACCGTATCTTTCTTGAAATGGATCCAACATAGTCACGTATTCGGCTTTTCTCATTGGCCTTACAAATAATATAGCACCTATAAAGAATTATTACTTGAATATATCATATCGTTTTACAATATTATTCAACCGATGTTCGTAAACCTACCAAATAGAAGACTCAAACTATAACCAATTGGTGGTTGACACCATAGTAAACCCTTCGTGTACATGACTTCAGCGGTACCATTTATGTATGCACCACCTACCCACGTGGCTAGATAAAGAAGAAGAATACAAAAAAATAGAACAATTGTTCGATAATTTCCTGAAATTAATTTTGACAACGTTAATTTCATAATTCGAAATTTTCTAAAATAATTACGAAGAATGTGAAGGAAGAAAGAAAAGATGGGGAGAGGAAGAAAAAAGAAAAAAAGGGGATGACATTTTTGTTTAATAGGCTGTAGAGAAATTTTTAAACGTGTTCCCTTTTGGTTGTAACGTACCGAACTCTTCTTTCAGTGCATTGAATACTCAATGAATACGAGGCCGTGGAACATCGGTGCTGTGAATAAACGGTGTAACGGACACCGCAGCCAAATGCGTTTCTTGGTCTACCATCTACCCATCATTCAACAACAACAAGAGAACCGTATAGATAAAGGGAATACGCGAACGTATATATAGCTTACAACTTGCCACTCTGCTGCGTTTCTCTGTGTCTCACGGGGCTGTTCATTACTGTAATGGAGGGATGGAAAAAGCCGCAAAATGATTTTCATCGTGAAAAGGGAATGGAGAAACTAGAAGAAAGATAAGAGAGAAAGACAGAGAGAAAAAGAACAAGAGTATGCAAGAGTAGTGAGAATGGAAACTGAATAAAACCGTATATATATATATATATATGGTAGGTAAAACGAATAATAACTGAAGTAATAACTAGGCCAACCAGAGGGTGACAACGAATTTTGCTAGAGAAAGCAGAAACTTTTCCGATGACGTTCGTCAATTTATCCCTCACGTTTCAGACGTGACGAGTCTAAAAAGAAAAAAAAAGAAAAGTATTCAATGATAAACGTACGCGTGTCTCATCGTCAACCGATTCCCAAGAGTCGAACGGTTGTCATCCGGTATCGTTTTCCAATTTAGTCGAAGTTTCCTCATTCCTCGAGTGTATACACGCTTGAATAGTATCTAAATTCTTATATATATATATATATGTATATGAATGTGTGTGTATATATTCGTCAGACAGGAATATGCATATGCATTAAATTCAGTTGGTAATTCAATGCTTCTATCTTAAGGGATTACAGTTCAGAGAACACGTTTAGTTGTTATCCAATAACAAGTGATACCTACCTACAAGCGTGAAGACTCCGAGCAACGGTCCTAATCGACGATTCGCCAATATCATATCATTCTGGCCCTGCTGTTGTTGACTTTTCTTTCTTTTAACAAACGCAGCCCAAATACCAACGCAGAGTACAGCAACGTAAAACACGATAACGCCGACTATACCAATCACATAGACACCCATCCTCGTGTCCTATTCTCTTCAACCCGCACCCCCACCGAATGTGACGGTAGCCTGTAATCAGAAAGAAGAGAAAAGAAAGAAATAGAACAAAACTAAAACCGAGATTTATGGCGTACGTGTACGAGAGAGTTTATATTTTTTTTTTTAGGATGGAAAGTAAAAGAGAAAAAAGAGAGAGAGAGAGAGGAAATATATATATCTGTTTGCGTTCGTTAAGTGCATACTCCATAGAAAATTTACTGGTCATGTTTGCCATCAGTCTGGCTCGTAGATACATATATATATATATTATTTGCGTTAATTAGAAAATTCATTATTATTATTATTTTATTTTGATTACTCTTTTGATCCGTACAATTATTAATTAATTAATCAAACGATATATTATTTATTATTATATTTCTTTTTAATCCAGTTTCAAAAGTCGTATCATATTTTGTTTTGTTTTATATTTGAACATAATCGATATGAATTGTAATGGTAAACGAGTAAATTATTCGATAATGGAGTAGAGGTAAAGAGGGAGGAAATGGGAGGTGGGAGTAGAGGGACAAACGTGATATTATTTCCAATATCTCACGAACAGAGGAAGACATTATAATCCGGTTTACATAGTTCGCATTGATCCCTCCTATCCGTTCATATATAATTAATCCCATCATCTCCTTTATAGCTAGTGCACATTTAAGCTACTCGTCCGAGAGTCAGAGAATTTCGTCATATTATCGCGTAAGGGATTTGAGTAAATGAGAAGTACGGAATATAACGTATGTAATATCATACATACATATATATAAATATATATATGCATATATACGTCGTCATTTCATTCGAATTGAAAAGCTTATATATACGAATATAATAGGTAGAAAAGTATATATAAGATTTAAAACAGGACCATCTAAGCATCACGGTTCAGTAGTAGTATTAGGGTCTATTCATCTCTTGGAAAATGTTGAATGAAAGGATAAACATTCGTCGTATCTCACATTCGTATTATAAAAATGAAATTTCTTTTAAAGCTTTGAAATATTTCGAATATATATAGCTAGTAACTTGGAGAGTTACATTTCTTTTTCCTTTTTTTATTTATTTATTTATTTCTATGTGTTATTTTGTTCCAATAAAAAGAAAAAAAAACAACTTGATTTAATTTAAGAAGATAAATAAAAAAATGTTAATATATATTTTTTGTTTGTGTATTAGTTTCATATATATATATATATTTTTTTTCTACACTCTTATCGATATCATCCACGTATATCAAAAGAAGAGGAAGCCAAGTAAAATTTCAATGGGCTCTAAACCGAAGGGTGAAAATAATATTGTCGTGTCGAAGGAGATGAGAAGAGAAATAAAAAAGAGAACTATATACAGAGAGAAAGAGAGAGAGAGAGAGAGAGAGAGGAAGAAGTGGGGGAGAAGGGGGAAGAAAAAGAAGGGGGGTTCGAGTGGTGTCGACGTGTGTGGATGTGAAACGATGTTTTAAAGCTCGGTACACCTCACTCTCTACTATCGCTTTTCTGCTATGCCGGGGCTAATCGAGCTCGGTGGTGGCAATTGCGGCACGGATTAAAATTCAAGAATGGCCTAGATGTTGGTCCGGGATGGGTCGTCGGGTCATGACCTATGCGGTCCACGAACTCGCGCAAAGTTCAGTCGGTTCGTTTCAACAGAATGAGAAAAAGAGAGAAAACGAGAGCTTCTCTCTCTTCGTTCGCATTATTAATTCGTTCGAAACGGCTTTTTCAGGCACTCGAGATGCAACTACACTGTGATGCCATGTCTTCTTGGTATACGTGCACAGATATACATACATATATACATATATGTGTATATATATATATATATATATGTATTATTGTACATATATATATATGTATATATATATATATATATATATATATATATCTCTTTTTCTCTTTAGATAGAGTTTGCGAGTACCACGCGAACGAGGGCAATTCGCGAGACCCTTATACGATATTTAAGCGGGAAATACGAAATGCGAGTCGGTGCAAATATTGAACTATGTAGTACGAATCTATTTAATGTTTGTTCACTTTGTCCTCTTTCGATCCAAAATGACGACAACTCTATATATATATGTATATATATATCTCATATTCATTTTATTCCTATGTTTTATTATTTATTACTCGAGATGAGAATATTTCACCCCTTTTTTTCTTCATTTTATTCATAGATCTTGACTTTTTTTTTTTTGATCTCTTTTTATAGTCTTTGATCTTAACTAACATTACATAAGAATTCTTTTTTTACATTCATCATTTTTAACAATATTTTTCGTGAAATATGTGATGCTATTTATTAGAATTTTACAGGTGAACGAACATTATCAGTTATCCGTGCTCTTTGATAAATAACAGCAACGCGTTCGAACTTTGATCGGATTACACTGATTAGTTATCCAATACTTTGCTCGACATCCTTGGCGATTGAGGATATTGAATATCTTATATTAGTTACTCAAGGATATAAATAAAAAAACTTGAAAATAAAAAAACAATCAAAATTCTATAATTAAATATAATTTGTTAATTTCATAATTACGTATTCGTGTAAATGTAAAAGTATCTTCGTTTTAAATAACATTTATTTACATATATGTACATACGTGCATCATTTCATAGGTGAAAGGTTCAAACCGATACGTACAAGGGTGTAAATAATTTGACCTTTTTAATAAATACCAAATGAACAAATTATAACATTGAATGTTGATAAACATGCAAAAAACAAATATATCTTAAGTATACTTTAACATTATCAAAGCAGGATGTCCTCAATTGAGTACTTGTTTGTCAGTCAGAAGGGACACGATAAATAAAAAGGGGACCTTCTAGTTAGAAATTTCCTATAGTATTTTTTCTTTTTTTTTTACTAAATTAAAACGATACATGACCGTACATTTTTTATCGAGAAAACTAATGACGTATTTTGAGAACGTGGTTATTATACTTTACAGTTATACGAGACATTAGGCGTAATATTGTCTTCATACAGATTACGTCTGGAATGTGAAGTATAAAAGAAGTAATATACATATATATATATATATATATCGTAACGTTTGAATAATATCCCTCGTAATAAGCTAAAGTGCACACTTTAATAGATGATTACACTTAAGTTTAATGCGTAACACGAATAATGTAAGCTACATTAAAATATCACGTCAAGGTCTTCTTTTCTTAATCACAATTATAATTTAGTAGAACTCTTTTTATTTATATCATATGTAAAAACACACATTGATCACATGTTGTTTGTTCTCGTTCAAATAAATGTATTAATAAAAAAATAAATTGTAGAAAATTTGTTATAAAAAGTAGGACCATTTTGTTGACGGTCTCATATAATTTGTTGATATTTTTCCGACAAAGGTCCATCGACACACCCACCGTTTATTAAAACGACAGATTTCAATTCCATAATAAATACAAAATAATATATATATATATACAATTGGTGGTTGAGGGCGGAGGAAGAGGAGGAGGGGGTTAGAGGAAGCTGGCGACGTGAGCGAAGAAAAGAAAGGAAAAGCAAAACTTACCGTGGATGTCGGGGGTACACGCCTTTTTCTTTCACAAAAAGTCCATTCCTTGTTCGATCCGTCGGCGATGGGAAAACCCGGAAGAGATTGCGATATATGTGTGTATGTGTGTGTGTGTAGGAGGAATATGCGAAGCAATTTCAAGAATAGATAAAACGTGATACGTGAGAAAAACACAAAAAAAAAATAGTAAAAACTCAAAATGAAAATGAGAATGGTACAAGTTGGGTGATGGATTTAGGTAGGGGGTAACACAAGGGGTTGGTTGATAAGAAACAATAAGATGTGAATACAAAATTGAAATCAAAGATGTACAAAAATACAAACGTGTGTTACACGAATTGGATAGAACGAAATAGAAAAGGGAAACAAACCAAAATGACAGAGAGAGAGAGAAAAAGAAAGAGAGAGAGAGAGAGAGATGAGAAAGAAAAGAAAAGAAAAAAAAATCTGTAATTGTATATATCAAAATTTGACAGTTAATAACTTATAGAGAAATAAGAACTATATGAAACGCGCACAGAGAGCACAGTGGCAAAGCAGCCAGGCGTACAACTGAATCTCCTTCGGATTCAGCATCCCGCACGGCTGACGCGCTCTGCGCTCTGGACCACCACCTCGCCAAGGGGTAGCAGAACGAAGAGATGATGGTAGAAAGGGAGGGAACGATCGGTGAAAACAGCTACAGAGAGAGAGAGAGAGAGGGATAGAGTGGGGGAGAGAGGGATGGAAAGATACGTTGTTGATAAGGTGGGGGAGAGATGATAGGAGGTAGTTGAGATAGTAAGAGGCAAATATAGAAACCCAAATGATGATAATGATGATAATGATGACTATGATGACAATGATGATGGTTGAGTAGTATTGTCAATCGTAACGTTCTGAGAATAAGAATAAATTATAATAAAAATGTGGTAGAGATTCAGGAACGATTTGAGATGAATGAGAAGTAAGTTGTCTGTGCAACATTTCTTGAAAAAAAAAAAGGAAAAAAAGTAAGAGAGAAATAGAAGAAGAGAAGGAAGAAGAAAAAGGGATAGTAAGTGAGGAAAAAAGGGGTGAGGGTGAGGATGAGGGTGGTGGGGGTAGGTGGATTTAAGGAAAAAGAAGAGGATAAGAAGTCCGTGGGGTCGAACTGAGGATTGTTGTATAAGTTTATGTGTACATATATATATGCATTTGTTTTATGTGTGTGTGTGTATATACTTGTGTAAGAGTGAACGAGGGAGGGAGAGTGGCAAATCCACGTGCAGGGGGCAAGCGTATTGATCTGTTCGCGCAAACTCCTGGCTCTTAGCTTTTCTCCGCAACCTGGTCCATATCGTAATACCCGTACCATTCCTCTTTCATCCTCCGAATACACGCGGCTAACTTAAATACACCTCGATAGTTTCGAGTATGGTCATCGTCCTCTTAAGAGAAAGATATATATATATATATATATATATATATATATGAGAACTGAACCCAGTCTGATACTTTTCTCAGAATAGGATAAGATAGGATGGGGGTAGTAGATTAAAAGTTTGATATTTAATTTCATTTTTTTCTTCTTCTTCTATAAAGAGAAATGGTAATAATATAATTTAACTCATTAGAAATATTATTACTCCTTTTTTTTTTATTACTGTTACTTTTCGAAACTTCAAATGATTCTCATTGTAATAAAGAAATTTACGATTATTTGTAATAAAAAATATTGAATTGAAATTAAGCGCGTACTTTAAATTTCCTACACCGGATACTTGTAGACACGAGTGAATTTAAAATAAAAAATAAAAAAAAAAGGAAATTGCGGTTTTCCTTTTTTCTTTTTTGAATAAAGAATTGTTCGATGTAATCCTAGCGAAATAACGATGGTTCGAAGTTGAGAGCCAATTAAATGCTTGAAGGGCATTGGAAAAGGAAACGATTGTTTGTCATAGAATCGATAAAAAAAAATATATATATCGTGTGAAGGAAAATAGGAGAAGCAAATAGAAGGACAAAGAGAGAGAGAGAGAGAGAGAGAGAAAAAAAAGAAGGAAAGAGAGAGGGATTAAAATCGGCGTACTACGCTAGGGTAGAAACAAGAGATACGATGATACTGGATGAAAGAATGGAAGAGAAGATATGCACAAGAGGATGGATAAAGATTTCAAAGAGAAACGAAGTCTTTTTTTTACCGGTCGGTATATGTATTTGTGTTTTTATGTAGATGTATGTGTACGTAGAACTCCGAGGGTACCTCAAGCACGCGAAAAATAATTCTAGTCTTTTTCTTCCTTCCTTCCTTCCTTCCTTTATTCTTTTTCTTTTTTTCTTTATCTATTAGCAAAGAACAGAAGGGATTAACTATTCATTAAACATTCTTATTTATATTTCACACTACAGTAGTTAATGATAAACTATAGAATGTTAAAATCGAAGGAAAAAAAGTGCAATTTAAAGAAACGACCCTAGTAGCATAAAATATTGAAAAATATTGAATACATGTGTATTTAATATTAAAAAGAGATTCAATATTTTTCAATATTTTGTTCTACTAAAGGAATTAATGGTAGAAATTTATTTGTTGAATAATAGAAAGAAAAGAAAAACAGGGCAGCTAAAGTTGAAAGCAATTAAAATTCAATAAGATAAAAATTGAAATAATCAAATATTTATATCAAATTATTTTTTATTATAGATCATCGATGTTGAGTTAGTTTCCACTCGAAGCAAATATTGTTTCTCTGTTGATTAAACTCCCTACCGGATGTAATAAAAAAATCAGAACACGTACCGTTTAGTTTTAATATAATAATAATTACTATCTCAAAGGGAAACTCTTGTTTCTTTTTTTTTTCCAATAATGATTGATTGATTTGATGCAGGTACTTCTGATGGGAGAAAAAGGGGTGGAAAAGAATAAGAAAAGAAATATTATTTTTATATACTTTATAAGTAATAATAAATATGATAATGGAAAATCTTCTCAAACTTTTAAGAAGTTTAAGTACGACTAAAAGTTAATGAGTGACCTGAATTTGTCAACATTTAAAAGCTTTTTAAAATATGTTCAAGTTTTTATACAAGAGACGTATTTTCTTTTGATGCTTTTAATAAATTCTTCTTAGTAATTATTAAAATGGAGAATAAATTTTCATTTAAATGTTGAAAATAAATATTTCAATGAGAAAACAATTGTTTAATTATTGATTAACAAATAAGAAAATATATATATATATATATACTGTATATTTATTACTTTATAATTATTTATTATTGTATGCATAAATAGATTTTTAAATTGACATTGATTTGAATTTTTGTAAAGATGTCGCTACTGTAGTGTCGGTTTTAAATAACCGGGAAAAACATGCCCAACGAACTAAACTGTTCGATTAAATTTCTTCTACGATAAAAGTGAACGAATTTAATAGTGATTAAAAGTTATTATTTATATATTTTTATATTGTATTTTATAATGGAATTGTTAATAGATAATTTTGTACCTTTAAATTACGTGTAATCATCGATCGTAATTGTATACAAATTACGATCCAATTTTATTGTTATTGTGTATAGAAATGAAATATAACCTACGATGGATGAAAATAACAGTCAAACGGTGATTTTAGAAGACAATGATGGGTAATATATTAATATTTATAATTATTCACAATAATAATGATGATCTTTGTTTTGTATATTTTTTTTAAAACCATACATGATTTTCTAGTTCTGGCATTGCTGAACCATTATGGTCATTTATTCATTCTCCAGTGGTTACGGTGTTCTCAGATTATAAAAATGATATGGCAGAACCAATGTTATATTCTCTGTTAGAATCTCTGATAAAGAGATCATCAAATTTAAAAATGGTTTTACTTCCATCCAATCCTGATCTTGTTGATGCAAACTTATTTCAACAATATGACGGTAATTAAACGTTTGCAACATATTTAGGTGGGTTGACAAGTTTTCAGCTTAACATAGAAACACAATTTTGTTTTCTGTCAAACTAACTTTTATTTGACGAAATGTCGTTACAATGGTAATCTGAAAAGTTTTAAAAAATAATACATTAAAAACTTTTCAAGCCAACCTTTTCTAAATATACTTTGCTATTTATTGGTCATGTATTTGTTATATTATTTGATTTTGCAGCATTTGCAATTTGGCTTTTTGGAGCAATGTTTTATATAGTAGGTGATCCAATAAGTGAAAGAACTCTTACTTATAGCATAAATATACAAGCATCTATGCTTACAACATTATCCATACATAACATTACAACATTTCAAAGGATATGTCCATTTTATTTATCTATGCTTGAAGGTATTTATTACAAAATTGTTATTACACATTTATATGATCATAAAATTTGTCTTTTATTTTTATTCACTTTTTCTACAGATATACAACATTTTATTTTGTCTAGTACTGGGCCTTATGATAATACACTAATACTCAATAAATTTATTGTAAATGAAGATATTATACCGAGCTTAAAACTTACACAATATCCAGTAAATGTTACATTGACAACTGTTGGAATTATATTGAAGTCTATATTACAGGTATTTTAACTCATATTATTTGATCTAATATGAAAATTAGTTTCTTTATTTAGAAATATCATTGGTATGTTTATACGGATTTCTTTTATATAGATTATTACACAATCAGGAACATCTAATTGGAATAATGATGAACTTTGGAATATTATTTTAAAAATATTAGAAATAGTTGCTATAGAACTCAAATTACATGTCTTAAAAGTTTGCGCAAATCTGCTCATTTATGTTGATAAACAAATTCCCGTATGTAATTTATTTAATCATTTAATATTAAATGATATAAGTTTACATTATTTTTATCTAAAAATGTATATTTTCTTTTTAAGCATGTCGCATTACTTATTAATTATGTTCTGGGAATTATACATGCTATTCCAATGTGGTATAGTAATGAAGATATAACTAAAACAACTTTAAATGAATATTTTGAAGTATTCATAACACTTATTAGCAGATTATTCGTGAATCGAGAAGCTAATATGCTCTGTTTTACAATCTTGGAATTTATTTTTGTGAATTCTGAAATAAGTAAGTTCATTCATTTATCAAATATATTGTTGTTTATTATTTTACATTGTTACTTATTTATTATTATCCTCAAAATTAGTGAATCAAATAAGAGGTAATATTCTAACAAAATTAAGAGAAGAAATATGTGAAAAAATAAGACAATATTTAATCAAAGAGCAAACAATTTGTAAATCTCCTGAAGCTAATAGGTATATTTCATATTTTCGCTTTTGCCCGGTTAGTAAAATTATCTATAAAATATAATATATTTTATGAATATATACTATACATTTTTTTATATATATATATATTTTTTTTCTAGGAATTTATTCCAATTTTCATGTGCTATATTTACTTTGAAATTGAATTACAACACGTTCATGTAGAAAGTCCATTAATAATATATGATAAAAGTGATGCATGGCAATTATTTGTTTCTGAAATATCAATTTCTTTAGAAAAGAAAGAATTTGCTGAAACTAAAGTATATCTACTTAATTCTCTTTACTTTGAGCACTGGCTTATCGAACAAAAATTTGATATTATTTTGTATAAAAATTTTGCCGATGACTGTTTGCAAAAATTAAAAAACGATATTACTAATGATAATGGTACAAATAGAGATTTTATTTTGGAATCTATATTGTATCTAACATCTCATAAAGAATGTAAACGAAATTTTGTTGAAATAGTTATGACATTGCCACTTCATATTGAAAATTTGAAAGAACTTAATGCAACTCAAAAAATTATAAAAATCCTAAAATTTGTTAATGAGGAATCAGCTTTACAAATTTTTAAGATATTATGTTCATTTGGTAAAACCGAAAATATGTTAAATGTAGTACATGAATTTATCATGAACAAAGATGCTTTATTTGCTGTTACTGGTATACAGTAAGTATTTCATGTATATAATAAATTGATATATTTTAAATCAAAATATATATGATATTGTTTTTGTAATGATATAATTCAATAATATTTAGATGCAGTGTTTCGTTAATTAAAAATAATAATCTAAAATTGGAAGATGTCTGTAAGTTTATTTTAAAGCCTGCTTTATTATCAGGTGATGATGTGATACAAAACGCTTTGGCTAAAATATTAGGTGTCATTGTTTGTCATTTAGCAAATGGCTATGACTTATTTAGGTAATGATTATATAATTTCATTTTTGGAATATAATTATAATAATTTATCTTATATTGAAATATTAAGAGAGATCTTTTTCTTTCAGGGAAATAAAACATTTGTTGGTCAATCCACCTGGATGTAAATATTGTGTTGAAAATTTACAAGATATAGATAAAGATACATTTTATAAATCGTATTTTATAGAGGAACACGAAGAACATTTATTGACTCCATATTTTAAGTTATTTGAATCACCGTTTGCTTCTGTACGTTATTCTATGTCACTAAATTCAATACATTTTGCAAATCATATGAGATCATTTAGCAGCAATAACATAGTCAAAATGTGGTTGCCTTGTATAAATGATAAGAAAATTGAAGTAAGACAAAACCTTGCCTTAATAACAGGCCAAATATTAAATATTCGAATTCAAATGGCAAAGCAAGCTGGAGCCAAATTAGTAGATGAGATACCACCAGATTTAAAAGAATTTGTGGATTTAGTGATAGATGCCATGATGACAACATTAAATGAAGCTTTAGAAGCTACCGATAATGATTTACTACTTAATGTATTAATTCAAGCTGCAAGAAATTTTGGATGGTATAAAAATAATTTAAATTGATAATCAATAAATTTAACGTAACTTCATTATTCATGTATAATTATAATTTTAGCGTTCCATTATATGCAACAGAATGCAAAGTTGCATACATATTTCTTCTTACTATACTTCATCATAATTCATCACCTGCAGTTGTGACCACTGCTATCAATGCTTATGAAGAATTGGCTTCTTTTCTTAATATAAAACCAAAGATGCTATACATTAGATACAAAAGAGAATTTCTTACGGTAATTGCATCGTTAAAATATAATTTTATATAAATGAAATCTTCGTTACAATATTTTGATGAATATTTTTACAGTTAATGGTACAACAAGCATTCCTTAATTATTATGATTTTTCTTATAATATCTCAACTTCGTTACATCGTGCTGCTAAATGCATTGGATATACCGGATCACATGAATTAATAAGCAAAGAAGGTCATCATGTGATTTGTTATTTATTACCTTATATACTTGACACAACAGTAAAAGATGGTTTTTTACCGGACATTGCTGAACTATTAGAAACAAACGAAAAACAAATGTTAATCGAATATTTTCCGGTATGTAAAATATAAAATAAATATTAATATATTTTTCAAGAATTTTTCTTTAATATATAAAACTTCTATTATTATATTCTATTTAGCATATCTGTTCTTATGTATTTTTAAACATACCTTTAAATGTTGGATTAGTATGTTTAAAAAATGTATCAGTATTGACTAATACCAGCATTCAAGAATTAACAAAAAGTTCTTTTGTGGTAAGAAATATTTTTCTAATAATATCAGTATACTCTTTTTTTCATGAATATTTACATATAATTAATATATTTATTTATTTATTTATTTATTTATTTTTTTTTTTATTAATAATAGGTAATATTTGAAAACTTGATGTTAAATTTTCATAATACGCCGGAAAAAATTATTGGTTTTCTACAAATATTGTCACAATTTGATACTCTTACAATACCAGATTTGAATTCAAAGGAGAATATTGTAATTAAATTTTCTGTTTATATTATTAAATAATTATTTCATAGATTATTGAATTAATAATGTATTATTTTTGTCTTAGAACTCTTATCTGAATCTTAGATTACATGGTATATTAGTGAAATATGATGTCAATCTTAGTTCTAAATCAGATGAATGGACACAAAAAACTTCATTAGCTTCATTAGCAACATTAATGCGATTTATGGGACCAGAACATATTACCATATATAGATTTAAAATTTTAGCAACACTACGTGTTTTATTAGAGTTTAAAAGACCTGGTTTTGGACCGTTAATATGTGATGCATGGGATGCCTTTATACACAAGTATGTTTTTATGATAATAAACAATTAATATTAAAAATCATTATTTACTTTTTCTAAATTTAAAAATGTTTATTATTTAGTGTACCAATGGAAGATCTTGGCCCATTAATACCAACTATATGCATTTTTATATTACCATTATTAGAAAATTATCATGAAAAAGTAAGCGAGATGTTAGAATTCTTACTTCGTGAAACTGATTTCACTTCAAATTATATATCGGAGCTATTTTTTATTGATGATTTGAAAACTCCGAGTAATATATCGGATAATATTAAGAAAGAAATTTTACAAATACAGTGAGTACAATTATATATTTCTTTGTATCTATTTAAAACAAATAAACAATATTACTTCTTTCTCTCTCTCTCTCTCTCTCTCTCTCTCTCAATTTCAGATCAAAAGGATTTACTGCAAATTTACAATTATGGCTTAAACGAATAACTCATGAAACTGATGAAATTCGTATGTTAGCGTTACGACATTTAAAAAATTTTTTAGCAGTACATAGAATAGAATTAAACGAAATGATATTAAGTGATACAGATGTACATCCATGTATTGTTGAGGTATATTCATTTCTAATTTTACGATATTATAAAGTAAATAAGTATAAGCTAAATTATAACATTAAATATTGTACTTGTTAAGCTTTTAGATACTTTACTCGCAGGATGTCAAGAAAATGATGAAAATATTCGTTTATTATATGGAGAATGTCTCGGAGAATTAGGTGCTATCGAACCAAGTCTTCTTCCTAGAAAAATTATTTCTAGAGAGGACAGTAAATTTATATTTGACATGAATGAAGAATTTGCATGTGCAATGCTTTCTGAAAATGTTCGTGCCTTTCAAATGCAAAAAAGTACTCAAAATATGGATTGTTTTGCACTTGCTATACAAGTATGTAAATAATTATTTAAAAATATAAACACTTAATAATTTTAAATGTTTTCATTTTCAAATTATATTTTTAGGAAATATTAAAAGCTTACGATATAAGACCAGAAGGTAAAAAAAGTAAATTATGGAAAAATCTTCCTTCAACGATGCAACAAATAATTTTTCCTTTTCTAACGTCACATTATAGTATAACAGTTAAATCCGATATTAGTTCATTTCCTCGGCCTATTTACGGGTATGTTTTTATCAGATAAATAAATGTAACTCTGAAATAAATAATTTCAATATTTATATTATAGTTCTGAAGCTGGATCCTCCGTAGAAGAATGGGCATATAATTGGCTGTGTAGTATATCAAGTCATTTGAACAATAGTACTTTATATGATATGATGCTTGCTTGTAGACCAGCATTTAAACGAGATATAAAAACAATAATATTTGCTCTTCCTTATCTTGTGGGTAAGTTATATATCATTTTATTTATATTAATGTTTTAATTTTTTTATACTATACATGTGTATAACTGTATATATATTTTTCCATTAGCCTATGTAGTTACAAATGCAACAGATGAACACATACGTGAAGAGTTGAGAACAGAAATGTTAGCAGTAATTAATGTTAGAGAACAACCTACTCTTAATCAGGAATTGTTTTCACATCGACCCCTTCGATCTGAATATTATATAAAAATGAATGAGAAACAAATATCTGATGAAGCTAGACGTATGCGTTGTTCTCAGATTGTATTTTCTGTATTGGATCATTTACAAAGATGGCTTAGAGAACGAAGATTACATCAAGATAATCAATTTAAATTAATACAAAGTAAGAATTATGTGAAATAAACAAATATACATTTTTATCTAGGATTTACAAGTTGACAGTATACAAATGTTGTTAATATTTTATATAATTGTTGTTCTGTTAACTTGATTTTCCTTTTATTAATGAATATTAAATTGTTTAATATTTTTACTTTAGCATTCTGTTCGAAATTGGATAATTTGGTAATAGCAGAAGGTTGCTATCGATCACAGGAATTTCATCGTGCTTTGATGTACTTGGAACTACATATGGCTTCTAGTGGTAAAGGATTATCAGAAGTAGATAAAGAAGATTTACTTTCAGTAAATACATTATTATAATTTCATCAAATCAACAAATGTATAATAAATAACAATAATTATATTTATATTTGTTATTATAGAAAATATATGCCAAGCTTGATGAACCGGATGGAGTTTCTGGTGTTTTAATAAGCCAAAATAAAACACCTGCATTACCACAATTGTTATTGTCACATGAAGTCAGCGGAGATTTACAGGTATAATTAATATTTTTCAAATGTATAAATGCATGTTGTATAATATTTATTTTAATGTAAAGGATGCAGCTGTATGCTACGAAAGGCTCGCACAGAGAGAAGTTTTCAAATTTAAATATATGCAAGGTATGATCGAGTGTTATTTGAGTCTTAATCAACATTTTACAGCTAAATATATTACAGATGCTTTACTGAGCTACAGGTAATAATATTAAAATTGATATGATATGATAATTGACATGATTGTTAGATGTATTATAATTTTTTTTTTTTTATTATAATAGGCCTGAACTGGAACCATTGATAATTGATAATGAACCTTTCTGGAGACTTGCTCAAGGTACATTTGAAAACGAATTACATAAAAATAAAACTACCGATATTAAGAGCATGTTGTTAAAAGATCTAGAGCGAGGCATTAAATTAGATTTTTCTGAGACAAAAAAGAAATTAGTATCACTTTTAGAAGTTGCTTCACGTCCAGGAGGATATCAACAAGCGTTTTCATATATCATGAAGTAAGTTTTTTTGAATTTATAATGTATAACACGAAATATATGATATTTAATAATAATTTTCTATTATTTATTTCATTTCTTTTTCTTTTTTCTTCAATATAGATTACATGTACTGAATGAATTCGATAAAGCAGCTTCTTTGATAATTACCGATATTAACCAAGTTCCATTAATATTTGAAGAATGGGATAAACGTGTTCAACTTTTAACAACATCACGTGGAATAGAATTTGTTCTTGGTATGCGTAGAGCTATATTAGATATAGCATTAGAATTATATGAAAGAAAGAATTTTGAAGGAGAAAATCTACAAATTAAACAAGAAATTGGCAAATTTTGGTTGAAAAGTGCAAAGATTGCTAGAAAGTATATTTCATTTGATATGCATAAATTCTTCGTTTTTATATTATATTTTTTGTATCACATTAAACGTTATTTTCTTTAGAACTGGATTTCATCAGCAAGCTTATATGCATCTTTTATCTGCTGGTGATTTTTGTCCTCCTCAAGAAGTAGCCATAGAACAGGCTCAATTATATTGGATAAAAGGAAATCGTGAACAAGCTTTTACAACTTTGAAAAATTGTTTCAAACATCATTTCAGACCTGTTGCCATTTATAAACAAATGCAATTAAGTGAATCTATTGAAGAAAGAAAACAATGCGCTAAGGTTTTTACATCATAAACAAAAATTATAATTAATATTAATTATTAAATCAAATATTCTCATTATTTTGTCATTTTTGATATATTATTCTTTTTAGGCAAAACTTCTCTTTGCTCGATATAATGATCAAACACTTAATGTGGATACAGATATTAGCATTGCTAATTATAAAGAAGCTATTGAAGTATGGAGAGCATGGGAGAAAAGTTTACTTGCTTGTGCTCAATATTACGACTCTGTTGTTAATAGGATGGCTGATGATGAAAAAGACATAAAAGGACGGTAAGATAAAATAATAATCGTAATATAATATTATCTTACGTGAAATATCGATGATTAATCGAATGTAATTGTTTTAGGGATTTACAAGTTCATATGATGAATTATTATGGCAAATCACTTATGTATGGCTGTAAATACATTCATCAATCAATGCCTAGAATGTTAACTATTTGGTTAGATTTTGCTTCACGTTTATCTGCAACTCGTGGTGGCCAACATACAGAAACTGAATTTATAACATTACGTCGAGATAGTTTATTAAAAATGACTAAAATTATGGGTAATTATAATAATCAATTATAAGAAAAAAAGAAATAATATAACGTAACATGTTAAAATTGTTTAAATATTATTTATTTTCTAGATGTGTATTCAGAAAGATTACCATTATTTATGTGGCTTACAGCATTTAGTCAACTTGTTTCTAGAATTTGTCATCCTTCCAAAGAAGTGCAACAAACACTTTGTGTACTTTTGGTTAAATTAATCGTCGCGTTTCCACAACATAGCTTGTGGATGATGGCTTCAGTTATTAATGTAATTACATAACATTTATCATTAATATTTTCCAAAATCATATTATTACTTTTTATATTGTTATGTTAAAATTGTGTATCATTTTACAATAGTCTTCAGTTCCTATACGAAAAAAAAGATGTCAAGAAATTTTAAATCATTCCAAATTGAAAACGACTGAAATGATTAAACTTATCAAGGATTTTAATAATCTTTGGGAAAGATTAATCGAGTTATCTAATAAACATATAAATGATGTAAGTTTAAAATATTGGAATATATATCTCTAGTTTTATATCTGATAGTAATAGTAATAATAATAATAATAAAATATCATTTATTTTTTAACAGCGAATACAAAACATAACCGTGAGTCAATTATCACGAAATTTACCACGATTGTTCTTAAATCCGAATTTTAGTAACATTATGATCCCAGCAACGAAATTTCGACAACTTAATTTACCTTCTAAAAATGAGATAACTTGTGATAAATACAACCCATTTTCTTCGTAAGTATATGCACAATGTATTTTAATAATACATAAAAGAAGAATGATAACTTATACTTTTAATATTTATTTGGATATAGAAATTTCGTCCATATAGTGGGAATAGAAGATGATGTGGTCGTTATGAAATCTCTTCAAAAACCACGACGTATCGAATTGAAAGGATCGGATGGTAATAAATACCTTTTTATGTGCAAACCTAAAGACGATTTAAGAATAGATTTTAGATTGATGGAATTTAATGATATTGTTAATAAGTATCTTCAAAAAAATCCGGAATCACGACAAAGAAGACTTTATATAAGAACTTATGTAAGTATGATTGTACTATTTGGTAATAGTACACAATAATTATTTCATTATTATTTACAGAGCGTTGTACCACTTAATGAAGAATGTGGTCTTATTGAATGGGTACCAAATTTAGTTGGTCTTCGACCTATCCTAATGAATACTTACGAAGAAATGGGTATAGCTATGCAGATGAAAGAATTAAAACAAATATTATGTTGTAAGTAATTGAAAGTTAATTGTTTATCGTAATGTTATACATTTGTATTAATTATTTTCTTTTTTATTCGTGTTAGCTTTAAATGATCCATTGGCAAAGAAGAAAGAAGTATTTCTCAACAAATTACTTCCACGTCATCCTCCAGTTCTCAGTGAATGGTTTCGTCTTACATTTCCTGATCCTTATGGATGGTACAGCTTTTCTTTTTATACTTTGTTCAACTTCATTATAATTTTTTTTATAGTTAATTCTTGACATTGGATTTTATTTGTAGGTATGAAGCTCGTACTGCATATATTAGAACCACTGCTGTTATGTCAATGGTAGGATATATACTTGGACTTGGTGATCGTCATGGAGAAAACATATTATTTGATTCCAAATGCGGTGATTGTGTTCACGTTGATTTCAATTGTTTATTTAATCGGGTAAATACACATACACATCTATTTTCTTTCAATACATTTTTGCCTTTTTTTTTTTTTTTTTTTTTTTTTTGAAGATACATTTTGGCTCTTTTTAGGGTGAATATTTAGATTGGGCAGAAAGAGTACCTTTTCGTTTAACACATAATATGATCGATGCTATGGGCCCATTAGGAGTAGAAGGTCCATTTAGAATTGCCTGTCAGACAACTATGAGTGTTTTAAGAGAACAATCGAGTACATTATTAAGTGTTCTTACTCCATTTGTATATGATCCATTAGTTAGCTGGAACAAGAATCAAACGGGAGCAACTGGAGAGAAACCTAACGAAAAGGTATGACGATTGTATTTTTAAATTCTTTTTTTAATATTACTAATTATTAAAGAACGAATAATTAATTTTCTCTTTTTTTTTGGTTTGTTTTTTAGGCGGTAGAAAGCATACAAAATATTAATCGACGTTTAAAAGGTTTAGTTCGTTCTCAAGGAAAAAAATTAGAAAATATTGCTTTAAATCTTAGTGTTTCAGGACAAGTTAATCAATTAATTTTAGATGCTACGAATGTAGATAATTTATGCCAAATGTATTTTGGTTGGGGAGCTTTCATGTAAAATTTACAGTACCTGCGGTTTATTATAAACCAGAGTTTTTATACATTATTTTCCTATGTGTTAAAATTCTTAAGAACCATAAAATATGAGAGAGAAGTGTTCAAAATCTGTAAATTATGTAAAGATTCATTAGATAAACTGAATAATGTTTTATGCATTTACAATATAAATATTATATATATATATATATAATATATTATATATAAGATAACTAAAAAGATATTTAAAAAATAGTACCGCATTAAAGTTTTCTAAATGCATTACATAGATTTTGCCAGCAGTTATATAACATGGTTTTTGACTGCGTAATATCATCATACATATTTCCGATTTTATTGGTATAGATACCTGATACCATTTTATGGAATATACAGTTTTGCTAACCATAGAACTCTGTTATATGATATAATTACATTTGTTATAATAATATGTATTTATATATTTTTATAAATTAATTTTGATTACCTCATAAATCAACTGATCTCCGGGGAAACAAAATAATAGTAATTGAGATAGTGCCATGATTAAATAAGAAAAATATTTCATTGATTTAGTACTATCTGTTAAGCCACCCTAAAAATATATTATAATTGCAATGCGTTTGTTTTCAAATATTGGTACTTGTAAATTTTATATATATATAATATATTAAGTTTTTTAATACTTACAATACTGACTTGTACACCTACTAGACAGATTATTAAACTACTAGATATAGTTTGCAAAAGCAACATTAAACTAAAATTGTTCTCCATTAATTCGCAAAATCTAATAATAATTTATATTTTTTTAAATAATTTATATTGTGACCGTTTATATGCATGTAGAAATTTATATAAAATATTAATTACCGAAGAATTATATGATGATATTTAATATTTTCTATTAATTGATATTTTATATGTTTTATTATTTTTTCCGATCTTTTTTCCTGATGTCGTAGTTTATAAACCTAAAATAATGATGACTTGTTTGTATATACTGAATTTTTGAAAAATTTACAGCATAAGGTAATATAGCATATACCATGTTACAACTTTTATTCAAATTATTTAGATTATTTTGCAATGTTACAAAATGACCACAAGTATGAATTACAGCTGTAGCTATCAAAGTATCTGTTGCCAGTATAAGAAGACCACAAATAACAGTTGCTATTACCTGAGAGATGTAAGTAATCTGTTAATTTGATCAAAAATATCATTTATTAGATTTGTCTGTAATTTTGAATATTCATATTTTGTCTTAATTTATCACAAGTTTACCTCATAGAGAGGAAATTCATAAAAGGAGTCAGGATATGATGCCATAAAAGGAAAATTGTTAGAATCGTTGTTAAGTATTCCTTTATATTTCAAAATAAATATATCGATCAATGGCAACGTGAAAAATATTAGTAAAGCATTAAATATCAAAAACAAATATCCCTTTGTAATATTTTTAGCTTGCCTGTAAAAATTTAATATAAATTTAATTAGCATTTTTTTTTTTATTTTCCAATATCAATTTTAATTCATTATAATTATGTTTGTTTACTTACATAGCATATTTTCCTAAGTTATTATAAGATGTATTATTTATTGCATATTCCCAAAATTCAGTTAATAAAAAATTAATAAGAATTTCCACATCAGTACTATTTATAGTACATACCAATGCTTTTGATATACCAAGTAATATCATAAGTAACACTGAACTTTATAAACAATGATATTCATTTTTAATATTTCTCTCGTCAAATTTTAATATTAATTTTTGAATTAATTTTTTATACAGACCTGACTTCTAAAACTATATTTAAATCATTGAAATCCTGATAAATTTGTATTATTTGTGGTATACCGATAAGCAACATACACAATACACAAAAAATACTTCTCACTTTATTTGTTGGATAAAGCCCAACAAATTGTAAAACTTTCTTATTTATAAATACATAATGTTCAATATCCATTAGATGAAAAAATAAAAGGATATTTTACTCTCTAAATTATTTTATAAATCACTTGATAAAAAAAAAACTTGATGTTAGATATTTTCAATACGAAGTATTGAAAGATAATTCTATGGAATATGCAAAATAAGACAAATGGAAGGAATCTACTTTTATGTGTGATTATTAATAATACTTTATCATTAGTTATGTGAATAAAATATTTGATATATACACCCTCTAATAAGTGTTATTAAAAAAATATATTGAAAAAGAAATGTTCTGATAATGATTTCATATTTATTTCAAGAAGGTTTTCAAACGTATATTCTAACAAGTCGGTAAATTAATAAATCAATACGAAAAGAATTTAGATAAAAAATGTTGAGAATGATTAATGACTTCCTAGTATCTAAAACCACTTTAAAATACCATGTTTTTTTAATATCATTCTCCACGTCTGCCTACTACTTATGGATATATACAAGGAAAAGAAATAATTATACTCTATTATAATAAAAAGTTGAAGTTGATCGAGATTAAGACTCATTCATGTTTAAAGAAAATGCAGAAGTAAAAGAACTACTGTAGAATAGAAAAGAATATTTAATTGTAGATCTTTCACCATAAAACCAAGTGTTTATAAAAATTGTAATTTATTTTTTTTTTCTTCTTTTCTTTAGCATACATCAAAATTTATAAAATTCTCTCACATGCATCATATGATTATTGTAAATAAAAGAGAACATTCTATTTTTCTAGTTTTTTTTCTTCCAGTTTTAACCAATGGTTTAGAATTAATTGTGCAAAACGTACTGTACAAATACAACTTTATGAAAATGTGAGTAATTACATGTAATAGAAATTTAAGGACATTTTCTTTCCACTTGATTTTTACCACTTTCTTCATATTCTTGACTGGATATCCACATTTGTTGAAAAGTACCTATCGAAGCTAATATTGAACCTCCAATCCATGCTCCAAATCTTCGTTCCGCACAACCATTTGCACTTATTAATTTCAATCTCATACTGGATGGTATTCTCATAGATAAATCTCTGTTAAGACGTTCTGGGAAACCCTGAATGAATCAAAATTCACGTTAAATCATGCAAAGAATTATTTTCCTAATGTATTAATAAAAACAGTTTTACCTGTATAAATGAGTTACCACCAGTAACAACTACGCTACCATAAAGAGCTGGTCTAACATCTACATCGCACATACCGACACTAGTTGTAACAATGTGACCTACACCTAACATGGTATTACCAACCAATCCACCACGCATTTGAACCATACTAGGATCAAATAATGCCTCTGGTATGCGAAATCTTTCGCTTCCAAAATCCTAAAATATTACATAATTCATTATAATTGTTGTTTTTTTTTTTTTAATAATGAATTATTTCATTTCAAATAATTACCTGATGATAACCAGTAGGAAATTCATATTGAACAGAGGGTATCGTAGAAACTATTTTTTCGTCATATGGTGTTTCTGAAACTTGCAATACAGTAGCTTGAAAATCTTGAATAAGTTTCTTTACCATATAATTATGCCAGGATTTAGTAACTTCAGGTAAACCCTTCTTTTTCACCCATCGTGGTTTATCATGATCTTTAACAACTTCTTTACTACCCACCATATAAGAGGGAGATAAATCAATATCATTGTCCTATTTTTATTTAAAGAGAAAGGATTATTATTTCTTGTTTATAATTAATGATATTAAAAAAGAATAAAATGATTTGTATACCTGTAAAAATTGTCTACATTGCATACTTATATAATCACCACCAAGTGGAGACTTTACAATAGCTTGCGTTAATACAAAACCATCTTGAACAGGCACAGCAGAAGTATGAGTGGCACCGCTATCAATGACAATACCAGTTGCTCTACCATTAGCAAATGCAGCTAGTACAGCATTTTTAACAAGAAAATATGCTGGTACATTATATTTCTCAAACATTAATTCTGTTAACTTCTCTCTTTTACAACGTATATTCCATGGAGATTCAGAAAATAATACCGGATGATATTCTGCATCCGATTGAATAACTTTAGAGTATGTATAATCTAACACCTAATAATAACAAATAATTGACTTACTTAATTATATAATTTCATATGCGTATGAAATATTAATATACAATGTAAAACATAGAAGAAGACATTACTTTTTCAAAATGATCCCAATCTTCAATCATACCCTCTTTCATATAGCTTACTACTTCCATATTTTTACGTGGAACATGAAGAATTGTTGTATCAATATAATACTTGGACCCCGATTGAGTAATATTACTGTCTGGTTTTTTATCATCTATATCCATTGGTTCAGCTTTAGTAGCTGTTCCATTTGCATCTTCTCCTACACCTACGACTGCTGGTATTTCAGCCTTTGGCGTATCCTCTTGAGCATATCCAACTCGCAAAGAATGATGTCCCAAGTCAAATACCAAAGCACCAATTTCATCTCCTCCATACAACATTCCTCCAGACATTTTGATAGGTTATGGTATCTTCAATAAAATTATTAACCTCACTGAATAGTTGATATTTCGATAAAAACGGAATTATTCCAAATCAATTGGTACAATGTGCAGTTACTTTGTATATACTTTGTTACAGTAAACAACAATAAAGTTTATAAATAATTTTATACAGAAACATTTTATAACAGTGCTTAGTCAGTATAACATATACAATTTTAAAATAAATATACCATTGTAAAATATGCACAAGAAATATACAACTTACCGTATATTTCTTAAAAAAATGAAATCAAACGATACGATAACATAAACGTTTATTTAACTTTTCTTTTTCGACGCGTTAAACATAACCTACGACTACTATAAGACGCTTACAGCCATGATGGTCTTATACCTTTAAACGAATTTAAGTGCAACTCAATTGCCATCTACAAATTTCAGTGATATTAATATAAGATATAAGATATATTGCATCAATTAATTTGTTCTTTAATAAATTAACATATTTTTCTTATTAATAAATCTCCAAATTATGATCATAAGAAGAATTTCTCTTACACCTATCGTATTTTAATATTACAGGAATATAAATTTTGACAACAAAATTTCCGAATAAATATATTTTATTTAAATATTTAAGACTCATTAATAAGAAAAATGTTATTAAATACATGTAAATAAAATGATAATTTGTTTAAAATAAAATATTACTCATCGTAGAATGACTGAAAGAAAAATTCAAATGTAATCTCGTGCATAGGATGCGCGCGCATCTGTCTGTCTTGGCGTGCCGGCGTGTGGCGCTTCGATCGCGCTCGTCCCACAAAATGGCGTCGTTGGGTCAGATCGTCCGTGGACTCGAGACAATGCGGAGGTGTATAGACGTCCGTTAGCCATGTTCCGTCGTGATTGTGCTAGAAGCGGATCGTTCGTTTTACGACAATGGTGAAGTTTAATAATATCGCAAAATTCGTGACTTCGACACGCGTTGGACGATGAGTCCATTTGTTTTAAAGAAAAAAAATGTGTATCGAAATCGACAGGACGGGGCAATCGTGTGAATGTGGAGAGATCGCGTGAAGGAAAGTATAACGGGGTGGAAGAGTGAGAAGAGGAGGAGAGATTTTACACGCGTCGGAGTCTGTGACACCCGCCGTGCCCGATGGAGCCGCATACATTCACCATCCCTTTGGCTTTGTTGACATTTGTCTTACGTGGTAAGTAATTAAATATCTATTTTCTAGTATTTTTTCTTTTTTAACTAATATTTATTTTAACCGTTATTTCTACGTTGTTTATTTATTGAAAACATTGTATATATCATATATTGTTGATTCGTTTGATGCCACTGTGTATACATTCATGTTTTTTTTTCTTTCTTTCTCTTTTTATTGTTCTTTTTTCTTTCCCTTGTTTCGATCGCGTCAGATAGGTTTTTTTTTTTTATACAAAAGGAAGGCGAGAAAAGGCGTCTTGCTAAGAGTGTAAGGGTTTGACATACGCTATATACATATATATGTATATGTGCATGTATACACCGTGAGAAGCAGGTATCGAATTCAATAGGGAAATAAAAGAGGCTTTCGATAGAATCTCATCGTTGATCGTAAAATTCAATCGAAGGAAGCAACACTTTGCATCACGAATTTCTCTCTTTCTTTCTCTTTTTAACCTTCCAACCCTCTCTTTTTTATACTCCGCTTTCTCTGTTTGCGATAGTCTCGACGCAGTGGTAAGCAAATATTTACGATGCCGTTCTGCGATTTTCTGTTTACTAATCTCTTAACGAGGGAGATTACGGTTTTGCGGAGGAGGATGCTTATAACTACCACCCCTACCTTCGGTAACTTGACTATAGTGTCACGAATCAACTTTATTTATTTTTTCGCCCACGAAATTATTAGAAAACTACAGAAAGTCTCAACCATTCCATTTGCGGTTTGTGGAAAAGTGGAAAAAATGATATCGGTGTGAAAGATCGTATCGTCGATAAAATATTGAAATGACACTCGTCGGTGGTTGGTGCTAGAAAAGAATATATATGTACACACATAGTTTTCTCTTGAAAAAAAAAAAAAAATGTTTCTCGATTACCTAGGTTCTTTGTTGCGTTCGCGTAGGACGTGATCGAAAGAGCAAACCACCACTCTTCCTTCAACCGAAGGTCGTAGTTACACTCGAGAGAAATCTTAAGTTTTTAAGTGGCATTTATAACGAAGTGTATACACATTTATATATATATATATATATGTATATGTATATTTAGTACGTACAACGGTATATAATACTTTACCGGTCTTCTACTCTATTAGATATACTTAATCTCGATCATTCTATCGTAAAAAATAAAAAGAGTCATTATTCGTTTTATCTCCTTTTCAAATTCAACATTCAACTTTTAAAATATGAACACGATGAATTAATTTGTAATATTACACACACATATATATATATATATATACACGCGCGTGTGCATAACTTGTTATTAGTTGTTATTTCGAATCTCTTTATGTAACATTAAATGCGTTCACGTTTCTATTTTCATTCGTTATTTTCATATACCACATTCTTCTTGATAAGGCGTGAATGGGAAGAACTTTATATATGTAACAAACTTTTTATTTTTTTTTTTTACTCTCTTTCTCTTTCATTCAATATCATTTTAAAACGAGGAAGAAAACGGATACGTTATTTCATAATCGACATGATAACAATAAATATTACGAAACTATACAATTTATTTCTCCGATTGCAATGCGTACAATCACATATTAACACTAGATATACCATCATTCTTAATATACCTATTTCTACCACACTAGTCAAAATGATTGGTGTATAAAAAAAATACATATTTTTTGACGTTTCCAATTTTTATTTACTCTTAAAAAATAACAAAATTGTTTACCAATAATAATTTTAATAGATTAATGGATTTATAGACATTTTGAAATAACAAAACTCTTAATTATTTATGGAACTCATATGTTACATGAAGTAAAAATTTTCAATTAAAATGACCCGACCAGTCAAAATGACTGGTCTGGTATTCCTAGTGTTAAAAAACCGAGAACGCATGCGTCTGGTTCATGTGAATTTTCGTAGACATTGTTGTTGTTTAAAAGAATAAGATAAACATCGTTCATTCGATTGTGGTGAGTGGGTGGTTTCGATGTGAGAAGGAACGAGTTGGAAAAGTTGAGAAACACTGCCGCATAAGCTCTGGCTATTATTGATGCAGAAAGAGAAAGAGAGAGAGAGAGAGAGAGAGAGAGAAAGAGAGTGAGGTTACGTGGTGACGACGAGGGGTTGTGGAGTCAGGGTGTGTTTCCAATTGGTGCGATGCAGGGTCTGGGATATATACAACGCGTCATCTCTCGCGGCACACAGCATCCCTACAGTTCTTCTTCCCGCTCGAATAAACGAAGGCAGTGCAGTGGCCCCGATAAAAGCGCTCATAAATTGACGGAACTTCGACGGGGTGGGGGTGGGGCCATTGTGCTCTTATAAACCGCGTGCGCCGGTGTCTTCCAACCGTCTCTCTCTCTCTCTCTCTCTCTCTCTCTCTTCTTCTTCTTCTTCTTTTCTTCTTTTCTTCTATCTCTCTTTCTCTCTTTTCCTCGTGCTACTCGTATTAAAGATTCATTAAAGACAGTTACAGGAGGGGCAGGACGTGATTGAGGGACGGGGATGAAAGGGAGGGGAATATATATATATATATATGTATGTATATAGGGTGGCCTAAATAAAATATTACGAAGATATTGTTTATCAGATCTATCAAAGATATATATCTACTAGGAATTCGTTATATCATTTTATTATCTTACCAAGAGGGATTGGAATTAATCGTTAGATCGTAAGATTGAAATAAAAATTCGTATCGTTATCTTCTACTCTAACGGTTTTCGAATGAAATCTTATTTTACGTCTTATAGTAATCCACTTGATTCACGTTGTTGTGTTCCATATTTGAAATATATTAAATCAGTTTTCTTTTGATTTTTAATAAACGTACGATTAAATTTAACGAATAGAAATGAACGATAAAAGAATGAAAATATAAAATCACATGATTTTCTTTTTTATTGACATTAGATTTATAAATATTTTATTTATTAATTTTTAATGATTTGAAAAAATATTGTTTGACAAAGGTTTGAGTAGAGATATATTCCGTTACTTAACTAAAAAACAACGTATATTTTTAAAAAAATAATATTTAAGTTTTATATATATATATATAGTAATCAAATTTTTAATGAATCAAATTGGTTCAGATCATAAAATGTAATGTTAAATCTTTTTTATTAGTTAATTGAAATATTACAAAATAATAACGGAAATAAAACATGGCGGAACAGCACTATTTTAATACGTTACCATATTATACTAATAAAAAAAATAATTACTGATTTGAATTAATAGAATTAATAGAATTAATAATTTTTTTAAATAGTAATGATTATCGACTCACCCTGTAGAAAGAAAAAAAAAAGGGAAGAAAAAAAAGATGTCGCTCACCGTTTTCTCAACGAAGAAAACGATTCGACGACAAGTAGATTCCGTTAGTCTCCTCTCTCTCTCTCTTTCTCTTTCTCTTTTTATTTTTATTTTCCTCTTTTTCTTTCTCTTTTTCTCGTCGTCCTGCTCATCGTTTTGCGCTTTTATCGTCGATATATAAATGGGAAAGGATATCTCTGGCACCTTAGCGACAACGACGTTTCTTCTTTCATGCACTTCTTCTACCATTTTCAAGATATCACGCTTTTACGTTCGATAATCTTTCCACGAGAAAGAGTTTGAAAAGGATAACAGTTTACGTTCCATTTTTTTATGTTTATACACCCTGATTTTACATATAATATATTATATTTAATTATATATTTAATATAATTATGTATATGTATATATTATGTGTATGCATATACACATAATTGTATATGTTGTATTCTATATAATGTATATGTATATACACGTAACTGTATATGTTATATTTTATATAATGTATATGTATATATTACGTGTATGCATATACACGTAACTGCATATACTGTATTGTATATAATGTGTGTGTGTATATATATTATGTGTATGTATATACACGTAATTGGACATGTTGTATTATATATAATATTTATGTATATATTATGTGTATGCATATACACGTTACTGTATATATTGTATTATATATAATATATATGTATATATATTATGTGTATTAATATACACATAACTGTATATGTTGTATTCTATATATATATATATATATATATATTGTGTATGTATATTATGATGTATATTATATGTATAAGTATATAGAAACATAAGATAAATGATTTACCAACAAGCCAACCGGACTTGACTTGCTTCAAAACGTTCATTACAGCACCAAACGACTCTTAATAGTTTGTTCCTATAACTTCCTTCCCTCTTTTCCCTTCCTTCTCTTTTTCCTCTTTATCATCATCTAGTCATCTCCGTTGTCCTTGTCATCTTCGTCGTAGTCGTAGTCGTAGTCGTAGTCGTAGTCGTAGTCGTACACTCGTTCGTTGATTGTCGCATTAAACTCGTTCACGAACTCGTTATCGAATATAATGTATATACATACTTACATATATTCATACATACATAGACACATTATATACATTCATACATATTATATATATATATGACTGTATGAACGTCATTCTACGAATTGCAAGCTTTACATTCTATTCATCACGTTTTTATTATCGGTCCAGTTGATATATTTGATTACAATTTTGATTCTTCATAATATCGATTTTATAATAGATAAAAACCTTTTTTTCTATTTTTTTTATTTTTTTTTGTTGTTAAAAGAAAAATATTCGATCGTCCGAATCGAATCGTTTTTTCGATTAAAAACAGAACAAACAAAAAGAGTAGTACCAATTTTCTCTTCTCGATTTTGAAATGAATTTTTTTATTTTTTTTTTTTTTATTTTATTTTTACCACGTATATCTGGAGCATCCACCCATTTCTCTTTTGTATTCCACTCTTTTTCTGAGGGATAGATTTTTTTTTTTTTTTTTTAAAGGGATAAACCAAACTTAGTCACATCAAGTCAAGATTTTTATCCATAAAGCTTTTATAATTAGTGAATAAATTTCTTTCACGATATATTTCCCCATTAGAACAAAACAAAACAAAACAAAACAAAAAAAGAAAAAAGAAAGCCTTGTCTCTTTTCTT